TCTATAAGTCACTTGACCCTTTACAGGTTTTGTTTGAATTCGGCGCGGCGAAGCTATGATGTTGGTCGTTATTATCCATAAGTTGCAAAAAGACGCCACTGAGGCGGCGTTACTAGTACTCTACATCAGGATAATAATTAATTATTAAAAATGTATTTAAATGCATTGTTCAACGAACGTCACACCAAGTGGAAGCTCAAATCAGGATCGAATGAGAGACTAATCAATTGAAACTAATTTTGATCCGTTTTGGATAAAAAATGTCACGCTTGTTTGGATTGGAGGCTTGTTTGGATTGGAAGCATCCTCCAACCTGCTCCAAAAGGCTAGGATCTGGTCACTAAATATGAAGAAAGTTATTGAATTTCGCAGCAAATACTGCCGGTGCTGACACCTCGATTGCTTCGGTTCCATCGAAATTAACTGATTCTGCTGTAGTCAACAGTCATTCCCTCAGTGGAAATTTTGGACAGGTCCCAGTCAGATGGAACAGGTTAGATCATTTGGTCAGGTTTAATAGATGGAAGCTTGATGATTCTTTATCTACTCAAGATAATTTGCTTGTAAGTTTGAGACTTCTACTATATATTTCTGGCACTATCCTTCCCTCCCCTGTACATTTAATTAAAGCTGTTTGATAAATAAATTGGGAATTAACATTGAAAATTCGATCCTCGAAAAAAGTTTGTTGAAATTGCGATCAGGTGAACCGGAACTGAGCCTTATCATGTTTTCTTCAATTGACCCCATTCAAGTGAAAATCAAATCATTTGATCAAAATGGGTTTAGGCAGCCTGCCCTCAGATTGAGATCATGTCTACCTGAACAGAACTTGATCTGAGCCCGCCTCCAAATTTTGGGATCCGATCTGTTGGATTAAAACGTGGTCAGGTTCTCATCAGAAATCACCTGATCAGACGGGCCTTACAAAAACTGGATCAAGTTCTGATCGTCCTTCAGGTGGACCTGATGCAATTTCTATTCGGGTGGTCCTGTATTTTTTTCTCCTTGTATATATTCCGATTTGTCTTTTTTCACGTATGATGGTTAGATCTCATCATGTAACCAGACCTTGCACATGTGGGTCGATTGTACTAACAGAGATCCAACCCGTATTTCGAAGGTGAACTCACTTATGGGAATTTTTTGAAAGTGTCGTCTTTGTTCTCAGCACATATTTTCGAATTAAAGATTTTGCTTTTAAATCCATATTACCGACCTAATGATTCACAAAAGAGATTCTTCGATCTAAGAACACGTCTTCAACATACAGACGTCACTTTGGAAAAGATGTTGGATTTCTTGTTCAGTGTAACTAACTCAATACACCAAACCTCCAGTCCCTATTGGTGATTGATTTTTAACACCATCTCTGGAACACTATAATTTTTCATGCTAGCGAATTCTAAACGTATACTGAAAGTAATTCTCTAAAAAAATTCCAGTTTAAAAGGAGGCGCAAATTGCCAGTTAGGAAAAAATTCCAGTGCTGGAAATTTTATTAGGTTGCATGCGAATTTTTCCGCATGTTTCGATGTGAAATTTTCACAGAAATCTTTGGAAGGTTTACCAGAAATCTCCATACATTTTAATACAAACAACCAGACATCTTCTTTAAACAGCACTATAATTTTTCTGAAGAATTTCTCTCCGTCTATGTTGATTCCATCTAACAATATAAATCAAATACAATATATAGTATACAAAAAAAAACAGTATTTCATGTCACGATACTTTTATTCCCTTTCTTTGCGACGTTTGTGTTTCTGCGTTGAAGTAATTTTAAGTCCCACACGACGATCTCTTGTTTTAAACCGACGATGCCTCATTTGTTTTTCGAAGTACTTTATTAAAAAAAAAAGCTATAAACCAACCAAAAGTTGTTTTCTGGCATGAACTTACTTTCTGTTAACGAGTTTCTATGGTTTCTATTGTCAAATTCTTGATTTTGCAATGAAAACAAAAGAAAACTAGTTTTTTCAAAGAGAAAAGAAACTGGTCAGACTATATTCATTCGTGCACTGATAATTTATATTAGTTTAAGAACATCTCAATCAAGAAACAGGATTTGGATGCGGTTCGGGAAATGAGAGTGCAAGTATTTTTGTGGGAAAATATGTCTCGTATGTAGGTCGAGTGCCTGGTACAGATCAAAAGTATTTTTTATTGTTATTTTTTGGTTCCATATGTATACCCTCTCGGGTTTTTACATTTTGTTCCCTTCCCTATCTGCGTTACCATGGGCCGACTTACTTTATCCCCAACTGCACGCTATTCGGGATTGGACTGCCAGGGAAACCATGGAAAACCTCAGTCGTGCAGCCGGCCGATAATGCAGTGATTTCACTGTGTCCATTGGTCACACTGACTCAATGGGTACAGCTGTTCTCTACATTCGTGCCTAGCGACTGTAGTCCCACGCGGTTAGGTGTGCCTAAGCGGATACCCATCCAAGTACTGGGCAGACTGAACGCTGCTTAGCTTGGACGATCGCCGGGGCCACACACTCCCCGCGTGACCACTACAGCCACTACAGATCAGAAGTATTATTTTATAGTCCCATTTATGATCTTTACTCCCTTTCGACCTTGCAATGATACTACGTTTATTGTTAATTGACCCCTTCCACCCTCGTCAATCTTCCAGCCGAAATTGGTAGAAAATGAATAAGTCGACAAAAACGTCTTATGATTCCATGTCTTAATCTCTCAAGCCCGGGGTCTATTTCACATATAAACCCATACGTAAATGCACATCTCTTTTCGGAATTCAATATGGAACTTTACAAGTTTGTACAAACATTGCAGTCAAAATCAATCACATGACTTCAATAATTCTTAGCCCTGGCCATTTAGCCCGCGGTGAGGTTAATCACAAAAAGTTCTCATATTTGAGGAGTTAACGGGCTCCATATCTTCTCGTCTGGGAATATTTTTGTATAGTAATTCGTCTGTTCAAAATAATTTGTTTTCCTTAACGATTCCGGATATAAATCGCTTCAAAAAATGATCTAATTTTCTAGACACGTCAATTGACGAATCCAAATGTTTTGAAAGAAATGATAAGAAACAAAAAGATGCGCTTCGGTGTTTCCCTCCACAGATGAAGAATCGTGGGTTAAGACATTTATAATTCCAGTCATCACGTGGTTAGCCAATGGAACATTTTTTTATGTTCGGCTTTTTAACTTAAAATCTCTTCAAACCACTACTTTTTACAGTTTATAGATTGGTATAATTGTCTCATACACCCTACACCGCGAATTTCTTCAATTTGAGGAAAAAAATCTCTAGGATTTCAAAGTATCAGTAAAAAGGTATTTAACGGTGTTGTGGCATGGGGATACCAATTAACCGTGCAATATCGAGTGGCAGCTGTTGCGCCGGTAGCTGCGTTATCGACTGACTCCATACAGACCCATAACTAATGGCTATTCGGCCACGTGTTTCCACTATCGTCGACAATTATCTTCGGCCAATGAGGCTGACTCGTGCGCCGGAGGTTCCAATCACTTCAACTTTTTTACTTATACATTCCTATTTTCAATCTACATCAACACTCAACAATTCCTGTTTATTTCACTCCATGAAGATGCCCCTTCATCACCTTTGCCCTCCTCATAAACCGTTCGACTAATTTTTATCGTATGTCATTCCTAATTCCACTTACGTCGTAGAATGTCTTAATTGAAATCGCGGAAGTTCAGGCATTAGGGAGCAACGCGCGCTAGTATACTCATGCGTCCCGCGGACACCCAGTGGTTTAACGGTCCGTGACAAGAAAATAATTCCTCGATCGTAAACGTTGATAGATCGGTAGATCACTGCTCTCTAAACACGTTAGCCGTTATAACGCTCAATACCAATTCGATTCCAACGACAATCACCGCGAATTCCATGGAAAAGTTTTCTTAAGTGTTCAGCTGAGAAAAAATGCACCACAAAAAGAAGCATTAAAGAGTAATGGGAAAAGTGTTGGGTAACTAACGATCGTGCACGCATTGAGTACCAGTAAAATGCCCCTTATTGTATATAGTCTGCCCCTGTTTCTCTCCAGGACCAATGATTATGGCCAATAACTTTTTGACTGAGTAAACTGGGCACAGTGGGTAGTCCAGCGATTACATTCAACAATTATCGTTGAATGGATGAATATATAACCGACGCGGGTCTAAAATCTCCAACATGGTAAATATTTGCATATTGTTAATAAAGACAGTTGAGCGTAGTATTTACCTCTATACCATTCATTGATGTTACTCATTACTCACCGTGAATATATTGCCATCAGATTATGTAAAGCACCCGCAGCTTCTTCACCAATTGATGCTCTTCATTCAAAGGCATACCAAGTACAGGCATATGAAGAGAAATTTACTCACCGAGAGTGGTGTATAGTGCCTCCATGCTCAAAGGTAACTTGCATGAGATACGAGTCAAGGTCGAATTTATCGTTCATACACATCGAGTGGATTTCCACTTCGCTTTCTTTAGCATAAGATTACAATGTAATGTCCTGTCTTGAGTTCTGTACGAGCAAAAGACTCCCAATAAATTTCTCAACAGGCTCAACTATCCCCTTGTCCTCTCCCCTTGCCGCTCCGATAAAAGTATCATCGCAAGTACTTCGTGGCTCTGGTACTGCACCTCCCTCGTGCTGTTGTAAATCAATCCAAGATGGCGGAGATATACCCAGAGTGCGCGCGCAGGAAAACTGCACTTGAGGACGCAACCGCGTTTGCGAGTACTCTAATCGTTATCCCTTTCTTTCTCTCTCGATCGCTGGGTCTGAAGCGAATTATATGTTTCTCCCTTGTAAATACCTCGCGACAAGAAATGGATGCTTACATTTGATTGTAAATTATCCAGGCGATTATGGACGGGCGTGTGCTAGCAGCCAACTGAGATTTTCTGCTGGTCAAGTTGTACCAAATCACACACAATAATTTATTAATTTAACAGCCCAGGTGACTGCAGGATATATAAAACTGAAGGTAGAAAATGGCATTACAAATATCACCGCTTTTCCTGCCAGTTCTTAAAATCCCGGTGAGAATAGCAGTTTCAGGTTGAATTTAGTTGCGCCATATATTTAAATCAATTTAAATCAATTTAAATCAATCTTTTTATTTAAATCAACCTTTGAAATGTGGCGGCCTTTAGTGACTCTTTAATCGTACCGCAAACTTATTCCTGCCCTATTGTGATAATTGTAAGGATAAACAGTTACACCGAATACCGGTTGAGATTGCGTATGGAGATGAATTGAGCATGTAGTCATCACTGTTAATGTTCAAATTTGGTAATTGCTCCTCGCAGGCTTGGTGTAAACATGAACAACACTACTGGATATGTATTCTCAATGTTTTTTTCATGACGCTGGAAAAATCGAGATACAAGTGTGATGTCATATACGCACCTTCCCTGACCCACATGAGCCTTGGCACGAGAAAGTTAAAAGGCTGATGGGTGCGCAACAACAGAGTATCTATCAAATGCATAACGCAGCCCAGAGAGACCACCGGATTCTTGTTTATGGCAATAGAAAATCCGCTACGGATTATCAACAGTAGTGCACGCGTATTTGTCCGTGTTCCGCACTAGCCTTTATACCACTCTTACTCAATATCCGGAAGGTTTAATCACAGTGTTGTGTTGTTGTTTTTGTTTCAGGCTGGTTCTCAGTGGTGTCTAATAACAGTGGGACCGGAAATGCTAGAGTTTACAGAAGAATTGGCGCACTAGTGAGAGCGGGTGTTCCGGCATTTCTCCTGGCGAAGCCTCTCCGGGCGTACACTCTCACTCACTCCAAAATGGGTGAGTATTTGTTGATAATTAACCGTTAAGAGGTCGAAGTCATTCGAGCATTGTTCAATTAGCGCCTAAGGGGATACGTCGGTAAAATTTAAAAGTCTTCACTGGGCCTTGGGACCGATTAAATAGTTTGTGATATATGATGGAATATAGGAATAAGTAGAGGAAATCGCGGACCCCATCGATTTTGCCCCGTAGAGCCACGAAAAACTTCATTTTTCCTGTTTTTACCTTCAAAATATTTCTTGCGCCGTGGTTTTCATACGATTTTAGTTTTTTTTTTTAATGTTCGTTACACTCCAAAGAATAAAGTTAAAATTCATTTATTCATAATCTATTGCGACTGAAGTAAAACGGATGCTTAACTCTATTCTTTGAAATGTAACAAACATTTTTAAAAAAAAGCTAAAATGGTATGAAAACTACGGAGCACGGAGCATTTTGAAGGTAAAAACAGGAAGAAATGAAATTTTTTGTGGTTCTACATCAGGGCAAAATCGATCGGGTCCGCGATTTTCCCCACTTATTCTCGTATTCCGTCATATATCACAAACTCTTCAATGGGTCCTAAAGCCCAGTGAAGACTTAAATTTCACTGACCTATCCCCTTAAAATTGTTGTCAACTAACACACCGAATCTCGAAAAATGACTGAGTTTCTGAGAATCAAAATGTTTAATTCCACAAAATGGCCCAAAATCGTTTTTTTCAAAATTTAATGACAAAATAAGGCCTGTGTCGATTGAGCTGCAAAAAAAGCGACAAAAAAACAGAAATTTTAGTTCTAGATAGGGTAGAGGAGTTTTCATCAAAAGCAGACAATTATTCATAATAAATTTCGCATTTTTTCAGTAAAATTGCATTTTTTTTTAGAAAGAATGTCATGGCGCAACAGTCTGAAGTTGCATTCCCACGTGGGATTTCAACCACCAGATTTTAAGATTAAAATGTTCCATATGACTTTGCATACTGAAAGAGGATATGTTTCGAAATTAATTACATGTTTAGCATGAGAAATATAAAAAGTGCATGGAATATTTCTATTCAACGAGTTTGGGAAACAATTGTATAAATTGCCGAATCTCTTAGAGTGTCTTTACTAATCAAATGCCCATTTTTATCAACTCATTAGTATCTCAAAATACAATGAATGAGTAAATATGTACCTCGAAGTGAAGGATTTAGCTGCTCTCCAATCGCTCCATACCAGGTCGATTTATTTTCATTACAGTATGTCCATAAACCGTTCCGCCAAAGGTTTGCTTCATTCTCGACGGGAGAAATTTGAATTCTTTTTTCTTCGAACGTTATATTTAGTTTCATTCTGTGGATGATGCGTAATATTCAAAAAATTAAATGGAAATTAAATTAAATAATAACCCTAAGTTAAGATTCCACGTGGTGATGCAACTTTAAACTATTCCCTCCATGACATTGTTTGGAAAAATAAATGCAATCTTTAAGAAAAAGTGGGGAATTTATTATGAATAATTTCTGGTTTTTGATGAAAACTACTCTACCCCATCTAAAACTAAAATATCTGGTCTTTCCGTTGCTTATTTGCTCAGCTTAATCGACACAGGTGTTATTTTTTAATTAAATTTTGAAAACGGCGATTTTGGGCGATTTTGAGGATTTGGAATGTTTTTTCTCAGAAATTAGGTCATTTCATGAGATTTGTCATGCGGATTTGAAATCAGCATGCAACAATCTTTCGAGTGGTGGCCGTCTCATCCATCTGCCAAAACAGGCCGGAATCTTGTACGACTGTATAATATAGAAATTTAATTCCTGTGTTAATAGGTATTTGTGGTAACGTGGAAGTACATCGAGAATATCTCGAGAATATCTCACTTAGAGTTCAGAGTAAATAGCAATATGATCCCTTGATATCTTACTAATCCTTTCCGGATTACCTATAGAAACAGTAAAAAAACGCGCATTACGATGATGCAATTCACCCTCGTGACCGTGGGTCTCGCCACACGAGGCCATTTGGCGTCTAGCCTTTCCCACGGAGTTAGCCGCAGACCAATACTAATACACTTGCATATCCTCTCATTTGCTCGCGACATCAGAGCATTTCACGATGAGCGACAAAAACAGCACGCACCATGACGCACCACAAACCGCAATTCACAATTTGCACGAACCCTGTGAGAGTTGACCGGAGGGAGTCTATGCAGCATTCCCTCTTCATAGTTTAAAGAGAGAAAGTACCAATTTTATGTCCCGTTTATAGCATCAGCTGAAATATCCGAGAGGGATTTTTTTTCGCTGAGACGGTATTAGGAAAAAATCTGTGCTCGGAGTTGGCTCATAAACGCTTGACGTTAAACGGGGCCGTTAAAACGCGAAATAAGAGCCGCACGCAATTCAAGACTCCCGTGAGTTTACAATTATAACGTGGGTTATATTCGTGGAAAGCCTTGGTACAACTATTTCAAGAGGACTTGTCGCGTGATTCTACCCTAGCGATAGTTGCTTAGCTTTTTATTCTTCAGTCATTAGAGATGAATAATTAAGAGAATGTATCACAAATTGGTGTCATAAAATTAGACAGATTCTCGAGAAAATGAGGCGTTATAAATAAAAACAATTAAATGGGGATGGAGGAAAAAAATTGAAGAGAATTGCAACAGCTGCCGAGTCAGCTGATGGGGACAATTGCTATTTCGCACGCGACAAAGCAAAATAATAGTTGAGGCCCCGTGGGTTTATATGCTCTCCTAGGACAGTGGATATGGCATATTTTCTTGGGTGCAGTGGCTGGCCGTGACACGAATGTCAATGTGTATGTTACATGCAATCCAAGTGCTGGGTGCTATAAACGGAGCTCCGGGAGAGTTCCAGGTCGCTGCCGTATTGCGTTGAAAAACGTAGGCCGATCTGGCCGATAGTCGTGGACTAGCATGTAACGTAATAGGCCCGCGGCCCCGCCGGGTGAAAGCCTGTGAGGGCTCTCTTACGTTTCTCTCCACTGTGCACATGTATATGCGTGTGTTCTAACGTTATGTCATTGTATAGCATAACTATTATGGGATTCGTGTGCGGTTCATGGGGTCTCAGAGGACATTATCTCAGCTCACGATCAACGCGTACCTGCATCATCGTTTGACGAGCCGAATATTTTATCGGGCTCCCCCCTTTCTGGAAGTTTATAATTGTCAAATTCAATTTCCTGCAGGTAATTGGTTCAATTATTTCATTCGAAATAATGTTGAGTCTTTTGGCATTTTAGTCTTTCCTATTGATATCGCGTTTTTGCTTCCGAACCGACGATTTGTAATCGCTCGCGTTTGTTTCCAATTTTTTTCGTTAAGGTAACTAAATATGGTCTTTTTAGTCGCGATTTTTAGATGGCGTCTGCATGTATATATGTACAGGGTGACAATTAGGAAGTTGCCTAAACTAATCGTTTATAACTTTGAAATGAGTGCCAGGAAAAAAAAAGAAAAATACATATGAATTGAGTGGATATAATTTTTATTTGGAATTAGTTTCAGTTGAATCAGACACTTCTATTAGATACTTATTGAGATTTGAAAAAAATTGACAAATTGAGCCAGGAGGTAACTATTAATGGTAAATATTTTCGAAGTGATCTCCAATCGAATTTGCACAATGATGAAGCCGTTTTCGGAAACTATGAAAAACTTGTTCAATATGAGGAAAAACCCGAGATCAAATCATCTTTGGTCTCGGGTTTTTCCGCATAAACCTCATCTTTCAGGAAGCCCCGTAAGAAGTCACACGGGTTCAAATCGGGTGAATAAGGGGGCCATTCCATACCTCCATGCGCAAACTTGAGGTATCCTAATCCGATGACGTGATACACAATACACAATACACTTCATAAATAGCTTCAAATATGTCCTTAGTTCTATGCAGCGTAGCACCATCTTCCATAAAATAATAGTTCTTAACCAATCCTCTTCTTTTAACCAAAAGGAAAAATTTAGTTTGTAGCATTTCTCGATAACTATTGCCTGTAATGGTTCCTTCTATGAATTCTAAGTGATTTTGATTGAAATAGCTGCCCATACAGTCACTTTAACAGGGTGTAAAGACTTTGCCTCAGATGAATGTGGATTTTCGCGACCCCCAAAACGGTATTTTTGTTTATTTACATATCCATTCAAATAAGAGTGAGCTTCGTCTGTGAAGATTATGTGATTGATTTCGATCTTATCATTTTCAAATTTCTGTGTCATAATTTTACAAAACTCAATTCTTTTGTTTTTGGAATCTTCTGTGAGCAAATGATGGGTCGTAATTTTGTAAGGGTATAACTTGAGAAAATTCTTCAATATTAATCTCAGTGTCTCTCGGTTCAGTTTCAACGTTGCCACTGCTTTTCGTATCGAATCCGTTGGATTATTCTTGAAATGTTCTTCGATCTTGGCGATCGTATCTTCTGTTGTAACTGAGTGTGATGGACCAGGAAGATCATGACGACGGTCCTCAAGAGTGTAATACTTGATGAAATTATCAATTACTCTGGAAGAGAAAGTAATAAATACTTGAAAGTTTTAGTCACAAGTGAGGTTATACGATGAAGTCAGATAAATTTTTTTTATTCTCACCTTCTGAGGGTGTTTGGACTGGCTACTTTTTTACTTCCAAATTTGGTACGAAAGCCTCTATATGCTTCAGTATAGTTCTTACCTCTAGTATAAAAGAAGTCGATAAAATATACTTTTTCTTCGTTTGTAAGGTTACTCATTTTAAAGTACACGTAGTACTTCTTGTTGCGTCTCAGTAAAAACTGACAACACTCTAGTATATATCCAATGGACGTAACCTTCCGGGTCTCAGTAGGAAGGGAAGACATGTGGGTATACTTTAGGCAACTTCCGATCTGTCACCCTGTATGTATGGTAGTATTCGGTGATATGGAACTCATATGGAACGACTTATATTTTCCAGATTTACTGATAGGTGACTATTTTTTTTAAACTTTATTTGTTATTTTGGTGGTATCGAAGTACAATTCTCGATTTG